TGTCTGAGACTTGCATGTTGGTGTGGGAATCCTACACACACACACACACACACACACACACACACACACACACACACACACAAATACACACCAGAAACCCAAAGGACATCCTAGATAGACCTGGGAATAGAAACTACAGTTTCTTTACAAACCTGCCGCTTTAAAACCTTCCGGGCCAACTGCCAGAAACCACACTTGACACGTCTGAGCCAGCGATATCAGCTTTCACCGACTCTTCTGATGGCATCTGCCTCTCTCCAGTCAGGGTCCATTGCTACTCAGATTCCATTCATTCCCACATCGAAACCCTGGGTAGCTAAGCAGAATTCTTTCTCCCTGCTTTCTCCCAGTAGCCTGGGGTCAGGGTCTCAGCTCTTACTATTTCCTTGAATAGAGAAGAGGAGATACATTTAGTCATCTGTCTGAAATTTGCCAAGCACCTACTGTGCGCCCCTGGCCTGGGCACTGAGGAGTCACAGACTAGTCTGGGGTTCTAAGTTCCAGGAGGGCAGCTAATATTAGGGTTGTGAGATCTGTGCAGAGGTAAGTGCTGGCTTCTATTTTTATTTTTATTTTTTGCGCCATTATTTTACAGCTCCTCTGATCCTTAAGCCTTACATCAGAATCTTAGACATCTCTTGTCCCTTGGGTAGAGGTGGGGTGATGGAGCATGATCTAGAACCCAGCATAGTGCCCGGCTCAGAAATTCTGGTTGGTTCAGAATCAAAGGTGATGCCTTGGTTTTTACCAAGTTAGATTACGTAGCCCAGACCTTGTCCATACCAGGTGGGTAGAGGGGCAGGTGGGAAGGCTGCAGCGGGCATGGCATAAACCCTACTCCCAGGAGTCAGACAAGCAAAGAGAGAAACCTTTACTCTAGCTGTGCTCTTCCAGCTCTAAGCTCAAGTATTAGGCCCACCCTAACATCTGCAGGCCTGCAGAAGAGCACAAGTGAAGATCCACATAACACACATCTAAATTTTATAAAAGTGCAAACCAACTTAATTGTGAATGATCTAGCAGCTAATAATGATAAGCAGTCCTTCAAAATGACCTAAAAGGTCCGGCCAGCATGGCTCAATGATTGAACATTGACCTATGAACCAAGAGTTCCAGATCAGGGTACATGCCCGAGTTGTGGGCTTGATCCCTAGTGTGGGGTGTGCAGAAGGCAGCCAATCAATAATTTGTTCTCATTGACATTTCTCTTTCTCTCCCCCCCCCCCCCGTCCCTCACCCTTCATGTCTAAAATCAATAAAAAATATATTTTTTTAAATGACCAGAAAGACTGGGTTTGAATTTGAACTTCTAAGAGTCCTTGACATTTTGCGCTAGAATGTTCTCCAGCCCTGACTCCGAGCCTATGGCCTGCTTTCTCTTCCCCCTTGCAGCCCCATCTCCCATTGTGTATATGTTTAGACACTCTGGCCTGCATAGTCAAGCTCCACCCACCCAGGTCTCTGACAAGCAGCTGTCCCTCAGTCATTCCTTGGGTCTAGGGCTAGGCACACCATGCCTGTTGTCAGAACCCAGAGAAAAGGGGCTGGAAAGTAGGCTTGGCAAGGTATCCTGGGGTCCTGGGTACCAGGATGGTCTAGAAAGACGAAGGGCACATCCCCTTGACCCTGCACCCCATGGACAGGGTCGTGGCTGGCGGGCCAGAGGCAGGGCCCTCTGAAGTGTGAGTCCAGAGCACTGACCTTCACCCTCTTGCAATGGCGTTTTCCCGGCTACATGCTCTGACCGCAGAGGCAGCTCACTGATACTCCCTGGCCTCTGACAGGAGGGCGCTTCTATCCCCACCCGGAGAGGTGAAGGAGAAACAAGCAGACCCGTACAAAAGAAAAATACTGTTTATTCCACACAGCTACAGCACGTGTTTCTCCCGCCCCGGCCCGCGCTCCGGCCCTCGGCAGGCTGTGCCCCGTGTCGGGGGACAGTCAGAACCTCAGTGTCAGAGCCTGGCCCGGGAGACAGGAGGGGGACCCAGGCATAGGAAGATGACTGGATTGCCAAGGACACAACAACATCCGGGACTCTCATTCCAAATTCAAGTGAGTTCCTCGATCGATTTGGCCAAATTCTTCCCCTGGACCCCGCCGGGATAAAACACCATGCTTAGTGCAGGGGCCAAGGCCTCAGCTAATCCACTAGGCCATAGGAAGTTTTGGTCTGTCTTTCATTTAAAATAAAAACAGACGAAACCACAAGCAAACAGTAAAACAGGTTCTGCCCTTCCTCCTGCCTTTCCATGGTGAAGGAGCCATTGAGCTCTGGCTTTAAGTCCAGAAAGGTGCTTTCAAGATAAATGTATATCAACTCCTTTAGAGTCTGATGCTACTACCAAGAACAAAACAGGTGCTTCCCAGGGCGGGGGGCGGGGGGGGCAGGGGATATAGAAGTGGCGGGGAGTGGGGGTGGGAAGGAGAGAGGGGCAGTGAAGCCTTCAATGGGGAATTAGCAGAGCAATGGCAGGCTGGTAAGCTCTGCTTTGGGCATGTTTCAGGAACACCCCACGCCCTCCTGCCTGGGGAATTCGGCTGCAAATATTCGGACCCTGGTATAGCTCCAGAAAGGCCGACCATGCTTCCTACACAGGAGAAGACGGTTCAGCTCTACCTCAGCCTCTGGAAGACGGGTTTAGATGAGGGAGGAGCTGAAAAGGCAAGGCCAGGCCTCGTGTGGACCACCAGCAGCTCCTTATCTTTTTCCCGCCCTGACACCAGACAGATGTGTCCCACAGAGCCACTGCCATGGACACGGCCTGGACCATGTGCTGCTCCCAGGGGGCCACCATGACCCAGCTGGGAGAAATCCTAGCTGAACACAAGCGTTTGAGGGTGAAAACCCGTCTCTAATTCTGAGACGTTCAGCCAGTGTGCCACAGACAACGTTTAAACATGCACTGCTTGACTATTCGGTCAGGGGCCCTGACCCCTTTTCCATCAGATTGTCAAATTTAAAAATGACAACAGGCCACACAGAACAATAGCCATCGGTGTGACTGAATCAAAAGTATGCCTACTTTTTTGTCAGATTGGCAAAAAAAATATATATTTTGGGGGGTGCTGCAGAATTACAGTAATCCACCTACGTGTGCCATGAGATGAAAAAGGTTGAAAACTGCCACTCTGATTTATTGAAGTGTAAATCGCTGCATCCTTAAACTCCAGGACTTTCACGAGTACTGAAAACCTGTGTACGATTCTCCTCCCTTCTTCTCCCCGAGACGGGGGGGATCACCCTGCACTCGAGTGTGGAGCCTCCCCTTGGGGACATTTCTTTGGGGGGGAAAGTGGGGCGGGCAGGCTGCCCAGCAGCTCCCTCACTCCGGCAGGGCTGCTGGTCCCAACGTGGTGGGCGGGAGTGTGTGTGTACGTGTGGCAATTTGACACACAACTGTCTTCCCACCGGCACAGCTACCACGAGAGTGGCCCCTGGCACTGCAGGACCTGGGAGGGACCAGGTGCGGGCAGGGAAGGAAACAGCATGTTGGCTGGTGAAGGCCAGGCCAGGAGGTGGCTGCCAGTGGCCGGCAGAGCTGCACACGTGAACTTGCTGGCAGTCACCTCCTCGGGTACCCTGTGAGGTGCGGTGGAAGGTGGCTGCTAGAGACCTGGCTTTGTAAGGACAAGGATAGTGAAGGGGGTGGGGACTGACCCCTGACCCTAACGGATGCTCTACACAGCAAGGCTGGGCTCATCTCAGCAAACCTCTGAGTGCTCTCCTGACATCCTGGAGTCACAGGCTGCGACCCAGAGCTTGGCCAGCCCCCGCGAGGCTGGGAAACTCAGGAGCTCGGATGAGGTGCCGACCCCCAATGTGCCACAGTGACCCTCTCTAGAGGCAAACCCATCCTGTGCCAGGGATATATGCTTGGCTCAGTGGAGCACCGGGGAGATTACTGACATAACACAGGGGCAAAGACTCGGGGCAAAGTAAGATTTCTCATCCAGTACCCAAGGCTTAAAGCTACAAAGAAACTTGGCGTTAAGCCACCTTCCACAGGAGACTTTTCTGGGCTGGATGTTGGCCTTTCCCCCGGGCCTTGCTGTCTGGTTTACTGTTTTGTCTGCCCTGTCTTGGGTTGGGGAAGAATGTGAGGATGAGAGAGTATTTCTTTCCTCATTTTTCTCCAAAGTGCCCGCTTACTCGGGAAGGGGATTTTCCAGGCTGCGCGTTCCCTCTTGGGGGGAGATGGTTATGGACAGAGATTAGATTAAAATCTGGAAGGATGGCCTTATCTACTAAGTGCCCGGCCTGCCACAGGCCTGGGTCAACTCCACAACAGCTGGAGTTCGCTGATGTTCGCTTCCAACATGGATTACCACAGAAAAGGTTCTGCTTTAGTGCAATTTTCCTCCAGAGGAACCAGGAGGGGGAGCGGGGAGAGGAGGTGGCCTATTCTGGCCCCAGGGCTGTGGAGTCTCCCGACTCTGAGGTCAAGGCAGACACGGAGTCTGACCTGAGCAGCACATCACGCTTTTCAGAACTGTGTCTCAGTCCTTTCGGGGGGCAGTGTGCCTGCGGGCAGAGGGCGAAACTGCGGTTCTACCGGATGAGCTGCCGTACCTGCCACACGTACACAGAGGAGCGAAGAGGAGAGGGTGGACAGAGAAGCCATCGAACACAAGAGCTCATGGCCAGTCTTTAGGGGCTGCTGCAGCCCTCCCCAACGACGGGGGACTTTCTGGTTCCCAACCAGAATGCACCCCTCAAAAACCACGTGAGCAAAGTGCTTCTTTAAGTGACACCACAAACCCCTCCCTGGGGGTGACCAGGCCCGGAGCCTGGGCTCTCAGAGGCCCTCCGCCCTCCCCACGGTGTGCAGTGTGTGGGGGGCAGGAGGGAGGCAGCCGACGGCCATGCACACGGTGGAGTCTCAAGACCCGGGACAAGTACAGCCACAGGTACCCGATGGCGGTGCCGTCGCAGCCGTGGCTGCAGCCGGTGCCGAGGGACAAGGACCAAGTGCTGGGACCCGGGGCCGGGCCGGGCCCTACGGGATCTGAAAGACGTTCAGCTTGCTGGTGTTCTTGAGCGTCTGGCGCCGATTGCAGAACCAGACCCGCACGACCTCCCGGTCGTAGTTGAGCTCCTTCGCGATCTCGGTGATCTCCTGGCCGGTGGGCAGCGGGTTCTTCTCGAAGTAGGCGTTGAGAGCCACGACGGCCTGGGGGGTGAAGGAGGTGCGGCGTTTGCGTTTCTTGGAGGGCTCGCCGCCCACAAACTCCATCAGGTTCTGCTGGCCCTCCTGGTTCCGGAGCTCGGCTTCATTCAGCCACTTCTCCAGCACCGGCTTCAGCTTCTGGGCGCTCTTGGGCGTGATGTCCAGCTTCTCGAACCTGCGGGTGGCCCACGCCCAGGGAGGGACCGTGAGAGCGTCTTACTCCCCACGCCTGGGTGTGAGCACTCGGCTCCTCACCACCCCCACCGGGACCCTGATGGCTGGGGGAAGCCCAGACTTCTCCGACCGTCCTGTGTCCCTGGTCACAACGAGGGGCCATTCCCATGGCCTCGGTCCAGGAGGGCAGTGATAACAGTGCAGCTGCTGCCTGGACAACCACTCCAGAACTTTCACAACCAAACAAGTGCGGTCCTTTGAGGGTGTTTTTGTTGTTGTTGTTTTGTTTTGTTTTTTAATATTTTCTTTATTGATTTTTTACAGAGAGGAAGGGAGAGGGACAGAGAGCTAGAAACATCGATGAGAGAGAAACATCGATCAGCTGCCTCCTGCACACACCCCACTGGGGATGTGTCCGCAACCAAGGTGCATGCCCTTGACCGGAATCAAACCTGGGACCTTTGAGTCCACAGGCTGATGCTCTATCCACTGAGCCAAACCGGTCAGGGCATTGAGGTGCTATCTTGAGAGATCTCCAGACAAGGCAGTGGACATCATGAGCACTGTCCTCCTCCAATTACCCTCTCATTGCAGCGTCACTGAGTCAGAGCCCGGATGTGGCTGCAGACTTCCCAGCACAGCAGTGAGTCTAAGGGTCTCTCTAGTCTACATCTGAGAGACCGTTAGACTCACTGCTGTGAATTCACCTGGAATTGGAAGGCAGATGAAACCTTTGGGCCATACTGAGCCTCATTCTTGTTGGAACCCCTCTACGACCCCTCCTAGGATACTGGCACCAGGACCAGCTTAGGTGCTGCACACAGAAGCCAGCCACACCTCTTTAGGGTCATGCCTTATACAACGGGGAGATGACAGCATGACAGGGGTGACGGTGGGATAGAGTTGAGAGCTAAGACAGAACTGAAGTTCCCACCTTTGTGACTCATTTCATAAGCTGTACTCCTTTCCCTCTAGGATTCCTAATGGATTAGGGTCTTGGGATCCTAGAAAAAGACTATTTGCTTTGCCTAGCTGGTTTGGCTCAGTGGATAGAGCATTGGCCTACGGACTGAAGGGTCCCAGGTTTGATTCCAGTCAGAGGAACATGCCCGGGTAGCAGGCTCGATCCCAAGTAGAGGGTGTGCAGGAGGTAGCTGATCAATGATTCTCTCTCATCATTGATGTTTCCCTCTCCCTCTCCCTTCCTCTCTGAAATCAAATATATTTATTATTTGCTCAGGATTGGAGGATAAACATCAGAGGACCTGGTCAGTCTTTGGCTACTCCGGGTATTCATATCTTATCCTTAAAGCAGCCTTCCTTATTTGGAAGAAGGCAGGAGCAAAGGAGAATACAGGGGTCACCGGGCCCTGTGAGTACCTGGTGGCACCAGGCCCCTGAGCAGGCCTGACCTTGCCAGGGAGCCTCACTCACCGGCAGATGGCGGACTGGCTGTAGGCCGGGCCCTCCGTCGCGGTCAGAGCCTGGCCCACCTGCGTCTGGGTGAGGCCCAGAGACAGCCGGCGGATCTTGAAGTTCTTGGCAAACTCCCGGATCTCTTCTAAGTTGATCCCGTCCTCGTCCAGACTCGGGGTATGTGGCTCTAGGCCAGAGAAGAGAGCAGGGTGAGCGCAGAGGACAGATAACCATCCCTGCTGATCTAGCCCAATGGCCTGGCCCGGTGCAGAGGGATGAGGACATTTGGCAAAAGGCCCTCCTACCCTAAAGACCCTCCCTAACTCTGTCCCCAAGACAAACAATGGAGGAAAGGGCCCTGGACCCACCTGTCTGGGGGTTGGGGTCTTGTTTCGTTTGTCCAGCTCTGACTGTTGGCCCTCCCCATTCCCCCTGCTCCTGGCCCCCAAACACACCTGCTGGCCACCCACATTCCTCACATACCGGGTGAGAATCCCTGGAGAGACAGCCAATGGGGAAACAGCCTCCGCTATCATCATGCCTAGAACCCAGCTTAACAGGAATAAGAAAGCCAGTCCCTGGCACCGAGCACCTGCCCTTCACCCTGGGACTCCAGGAAGTTTATCAAGAAGAGCAGCATTCAGCCGAGACTGGTTTGGCTCAATGGATAGAGCGTCGGCTTGGGGACTGAAGGGTCCCAGGTTCGATTCCAGTCAAGGGCATGTACCCTGGTTGCCGGCATATCCGCAGTAGGGAGTGTGCAAGAGGTAGCTGATCGATGACTCTCTCTCATCGATGTTTCTAACTATCTCTCTCCCTTCCTCTCTGTACAAAATCAATAAAATATATTTTAAAAAAATAAAAATAAAAGAAGAGCAGCATTCAGCCCTAGCTGGTTTGGTTCAGTGGCTAGAGCATCAGCCTGCAAACTGAAGGGTCCTGGGTTCCATTCCAGTCAAGGGCACATGCCTGGGTTCTAGTAGGGGGTGTCCAGGAGGCAGCCAATCAATGATTTTCTCTCATCATCAATGTTTCTCTCTCCTTCACCCTTTATGAAATCAATAAAAAAATATATATATTTTTAAAAAGAACAGCATTCAAAGATGTCAGACGCCTCTCCCATTCTCCACAACCTCCTTCAGGAGCCACTTACTGGACACCAGCTGGCTGACAGTGGGCGTCTCTGAGCAGGTGATTGGGATGGGAGCAGAGGCCGATGGTTTGGCCGTTGGGGCTGGGCTGGCAATGACCACTGTCGGCGGGGGCACGGCCGGCGTCGGCTGGATGGGCTGCACCTATGAGAAGAGAACAATCCCCTAATGCCTACCTGCACAGCTCAGGCGGTCGGAGTCTCTGCATGGACCAGGGACAGGGGCAAAAATGGGCATGAAGGCTACACTCTTCCCTGGGCCCCATCAAAAAGCAAGACTAGAAACTACTTATTATCAACCACCCAACGATAACGACCTCCGAAATAAGCACAGAAACATGTTCCACCAAGCTGGGGCCTCATGGCCACCAGTGACAGGCAGGTCAGAGGCTCAGAAAGGTCAGTACACTTGGTCAAAGCCCCACCAGTGTCCACCCTGAGAACTGCTCTCAAATCTCTGCCCTCAGAGGAAAGCCTAACCTGACTTTAGAGCCTCCCAGGCCCAAACATCCATCAATAGGAACCAGCAAGTGACATCTGGGACCTCCCTATTAAAAGAATAAGGTATAGCAGAGGCCGGTTTGGCTCAGTGGATAGAGCGTCAGCCTGTGGACTGAAAGGTCCCAGGTTCGATTCCGGTCAAGGGCATGTGCCTTGGTTGCGGGCACATCCCCAGTGGGGGGGCAGGAGGTGCAGGAGGCAGCTGATCGATGTTTCTAACTCTCTATCCCTCTCTCTTCCTCTCTGTAGAAAATCAATAAAATATATTAAAAGAAGAAAAAGAAGAAGAAGAAGAAGAAGAAGAAGAAGAAGAAGAAGAAGAAGAAGAAGAAGAAGAAGAAAGTATATCTCTTAACCACTGACATGGAAAAAGCTCAGTGTCATGGTGCTAAGTGGGAAAAAAAAAAAAAAAAAAAAAAAAAAAAAAAAACAACTTCCTGAAAAGTTCAAATCTCTCTAGGATGGGTCCTATTCCCTGGAGTCTACCTCTTGGTAGCTCTGAAGTCCACTGCCTCTTGCTTCTCAGAGCCTTAGCCTCAGTGCAGAATCCTGGTCTCTGGCTAGAACTGTGTAAGCTGCCTCCTAACAGGTGACAAGGATTCAAGTCTCACCACAGTCGTTCTTGGCTCCTCTGGCGACAGGGAATTTTTCAATGTGCATATAATTAGCCCTTTCCTTGCTAAAAACCCCTCCATGACCCCTCACTAGCTAATGATAGTGATAACATTAGTTTTCAAGTGCTTCCTGTGTTAATTGCCTATGTGTAATCTGTCCTCCAATGCTCATAACCTTCTGCATTTGGTCCTCTTATCATCTCCATTTTACAGAGGAGGCTAAGAGGTAATTCACAAAGCTGAGAGGCAGCACACCCCCTGGAGGATCATGGGCCCCCAACACCTGGGAACTTGTTAAAAGAGAGATTCCTGGGCCCCACTCCAGAGCTCCTGAGTAAGAAACGCTGGAGGGGGGCCTGGGAGCTGCATTCCCACAAGCCCTCCAGGGGGGTCCGACACTCACCCAGGTTTGAGAACCCCTGCACACTCTGCTCTTGCAGTTTCCTGAAGATAAAATACGCCCACTCAAGTCACCCCTTTAGATTAGCTCAACGTCCTCTTCCAGAAAGCCTTGTTGAACGCCCCCGTCTGTTGAGAGCTCCCTTCTCTGGGTCTCCTTGTCATGCCCCTGTCCGTCTGTCAGGCTGCCTTGTTCTCATCCCCAGTGCCACGCTACCTAAGCTAGCTACGTATTCATCTCTGCATCCTCAGCGCCTGGAATATAGGAGGCACTCAGAGACTTATATGCTCCTAGAATGAACAAGTAAGTGAATAATTGAAGTGAGGGGTGCAGTGGTAAAGGGGGAAGAGGGCGGGCAATCAGACCTAACTCTGAGAGGGTTTCTATCAGTTTTTTCTCACCCTGGAGCTGATCAAGGCCTCTTACTTTGACCACCTCCTCCCAGGCCTTCTCAGAAAGGTTAGCTTCCGAGGGTCCCTGGACACACTTTCGGTGTGTGTGGGCAGGGGTCAGGGATGGGGAGCATGGTTTCCCTGGGCAGAGCATGTGTGACTCATGTGAGCCTTCTACCCTGGACCTCCCCTGCTTTCTCAGGAGCCTCAGAAACTAATCTTGTCCTGCCCATAGTCTAAAGAGAGGCCGCGCATGCCAGAGAGCACTGTCTGCCCCAGCCCCAGCCCCAGCCCTTGTACCTCACTCTTGGCAGGGGACTCAGGCATGCTGGGCTTCCGGACAGCCACAGGTGGAGGCAGGGGGTTGCTGGCCAGGGTTGCAATCACCTGGCCCTGGGCGTTTAGCAGCAGCTGGGGGGTCACAGCCTGGACCTGCAGGCTCTGGGCTGGTGCTGGCGTTGCCACGCTAGCTGAGTTCACTACCCACGGAAGTGTTCCGATAACCTGGGGGGAAATAAGGCAGGGACGCTAAGTGTGAGCCAGTGGCCAGCTCCACCTCCAACCCAAGTCCCCACACTGGTCAGGGAAGGTATTTAGGTGAATCACTCAACCTCTAGGACCTGTTTCTTCCTCAATAAAACGAAGGATTAGCAGTCTGGGGGCTGCTTCCGTTGTTTTTATCTCCACGGCTGTGATGGAGCAGGAATGGGTCTGCGCGCGGAGTCAGATGGACTGGATGTGAATCCCTGCTCTGCCACAGTTTAATTTCTCTGAACCTGAGCCTTCTTCCCTGTACTGGTAAAATGGGAATAAAAATCTCTACCTAGCCAAAACCGGTTTGGCTCAGTGGATAGAGCATCAGCCTGCGGACTGGAAGGTCCCGAGTTCGATACCGGTCAAGGGCATGTACCTTGGTTGCGGGCACATCCCCAGGAGGGGGTGTGCAAGAGGCAGCTGATCGATGTTTCTCCAGTGCAAGAGGCAGCTGATTGATGTTTCTCTCTTATCGATGTTTCCAACTCTCTATCCCTCTCTTTTCCTCTCTGTAAAAAAATCAGTAAAATATATATTTTTTAAAAATCTCTACCTAATAGATCTGTACTCAAAACAAAGCGAGGTGATGTATGAGGAGGCACCTCGCACAGACCTGGCCACGAAGTAGGTACTCCATAGAGGAAGAGGTGTTCCCCTCAACCACAGCGGGTGCCTCCAGGGCGAGGCAGTGGCTGGGCCCCTGCCTGCTCTCAGGATCGGCAGGAACTGCCACACAGGAGGCGTGACCAGCAGTCCCACACCCTGTTCGAGTGTCTGTGACCCGCAGCCCACGACCTAGTGCCCCCGCCAGCTTGTCCACAGCCCCCACCCCTCGGCCCTGGCTTTGACCACTTGCCTGTCCCTGAGCATTGGTGAGGATCTGGCTGCTGATCCCCGGCATGCTGGGAATGGTGTTGGCAATGACCGGAGTTGTTGTGAGGGAGCCCAGGATCTGGGTCTGTCCCCCGAGGGAAGCGGCGCTGATCTGTGGGTGGAGGGAGAGCCTTGCTCAGAGACCAAGGGGACAGGAAGAGCCCAAGGCAGAGGGAAGAGGCTCAAGGTGCTGGGGCGGGGAGGTAGGGATGTGAGGCAGATACAAACGTGGCCACAGGCTCATGTCTAACAGCTGGATAGTATCAGGAGGAGGGTGACAGGGGCTATACCAGGGAGGGTGGGGTCAAAGCCATGGAAGAGTAACCGGCTAATCTCTCAGGCCAGGCCTGGGAGGGCAGCAGTGCCAGGCTGGAGTGGCCGATGTGATTCTAGGCACATCTTCCAACTCCACTGCCAAGCCAGGACAGACACTGGCGAGGGGCCGTGAGCCTCTAGCCCCACCTTCGTGACGCTCACAAGCTTGCACTCCCCAGACATCGTCCCACCCTCCCAGGCTGGTCTCAGGTTCGGGAGCATTTGCCCAGACCCTCTTGGCAGAGGTTGTCCGCCCGTGTCTGGGACGGACAGGCTGGCAGCTGCGAGGCGGCGGCTTCAGAGGGAGCCGTCCCTGCTGATGTGCTGGAAAAGAGCCGTATTCGGGGGCCTGGTTCTCCCCTTCCTTCCTCCCCCCATCAGTTCCACCCTTGGCCCACGAGTTGATCATCCCTGATCAGCCCTGGGTGAGGGCAGCAGCAGCTTACGATTCCTGGGCTAAAGGCGAAGCTGGCGGGCTGTAGGGTGATCTGTGGGGGGCTGTCCACTGGCTTGGGGGTGGGGGCGGTAGCGGTGGCAGCAGCGGGCTGCGGTAGAATGGCGGGCGTGCTCGGCGGCGGCGGCGGCGGGGTCTGGAACAGCGGCTGGGACTGTGCTGGTGGCCGGGGCTGGACGGGCGAGGCGGCCTGTACCGGTGGGACGGCTTGCACGGGTGCCGGGAGAGCGGTGTTCAGCACGGCCGCTGCTATGGAGCAAGGCAGAGACAGAGGTGCTCAAGTGCCTCGCCGTAGCCCAGAGCAGCTCCAATCCCAAGGGATCTGGCACAGGAACGGAGGGGCCTGGGGCAGCGGGGAAGGGGGGCAGGCAGCTGTGACTCCCTGGATCCGTGCAGGGGGCAGCAGGTGCCCGCATCTCTCATCCCCCCTCCCTTGGGCCTGGAGATGTGCAGGTTCAAAACCAGAAGTTGCATCTTCTCGAAGTCCTTCTCAGGAGGCTGGTCTGGCGTGGGGGGAGAGGGGCAGTCTCAGACAGACGGCTGAAGCAAAAGAGGCCTGCTGGGCCGGATGGTGTCCTGGCCTAGAGTCCCGAGGTGCTGCAGCTCTGTGCGGGGTGCCTGGGACCCCGGGTCCGGACTCCAGGCTGTGGCCCGCCCTGGGCGGGCTGCGGGTTCTGAGTCCAGCATGGCAAGCGCTCGTGCAGGGATGGCAGTGGTGGGTGGTGGGGGGCCTGGTGCAGTCCTGGGGAGAGCTGCTGTTACCTTGGAGACTGGCTAAAGGTGGCTTGAAAACGCCCCCCGTAGGAGAAGCGGCGGTCAGTCCTGGGAGGGTGGCCACGGTTGCTGTAGGAATTGTCCACACGGCCAGCCCCTGCTGACCAGCCACTTGACCTGCAATACTGATGGGGATAAGAAGAGGTTGAGTAACTGCCCCTGCTGGAACCATAACGCCTGTCAGAACTGTGGCTAAGTTTTCCTGAGTCAAGACCTGCAAAAGCAAACAAGATTTCAAAAAGAAAAGAAAAAATAAAATAAAAATCAACATAGGGCAGCGCAAACACTGGGTCTCTCTGACCCAGCGGAGCACAAACAACGCATTCTGAGGGCAGTGGGGGGAAGGCCGCGCAGGGTGGGGAAGAGACGGGCCTAGCTGGAGGCTCAGCCTCGAGGGGGGAGCCTGTCTTCAGAGAGGCAGCCCAAATCGAGGGCAGGACCTGGCCTGTTCACAGGGCTGCTGAGCGTGCACGGGCCTCTCCCACTGGACTGCTGCCCCCAGCCTCCCCTGGGCCCCTGCCCACAGGACCAACACGTTGTGGCCAGACGGCAGGGGCCAAGGGCTTACAGAAGCCTCTGAGAAGCTCTGAGGGAGGCTACCCTTGGTGGATGCTCAAAAACCTGTGCATAGAGCAAAAGGTCACAGGGCGTTCAGCATGTCTGGAGGATCCTGGAGGCAGCTCGCTGGGGTGGGGCTGCCCCCTCCCCTCCCCCCCAAATGAGGGCTGTGAACAACACATTAACCTTCCAGGCAGCCCCTGGAGGACCGGACAGGGATTCACTCATCTAGTCATTAAGCAGAGTGGCCTGTGGCAGGAAAGAGTTAACGTAATCTCTGCCATCCTAGCTGGACCCGAGGAGACTACCCGGCAAAGGCAGGTCTCCTCTTCCGGGTGGGCCTGATCCGGGCAGGGAGAGGCCAGGGGTGCCTAGCGGGGGGACTCCCTCTCTCAGCCACAGCCCCGGCCCTGTCCTGCCTCGTGAGCCTCCAGGCCCCACAGCCTCTCCAGGGTGGTGGCCCTGTGTCCTGCTTCTGCCCACGGCTCTGCACCCGGCTCCCAGGCGCAGCTCTTACCTGGGGGGCAGCGTGCACAGCCAGCGGCGTCAGGGTCTGCGATGCCTGAGGCTGGCTTGGGGGCTGGCTGAAAGTGGCGACAGCCGGCGCCGGACTCGAGGGGATCCCCGGGAGTGACGTCACTTCACGTGGCATCGAGAGAAAGGACAGAAGGTGAGCCAGTGTGAGCGGACGGGTCACTGGACTAGAGCGTCCTGTCTGCAACTCTCAGCCTCACTTAGTCTTTCTGCACCACCAGAGACCCATCCCTGGCTCTCCCTAGCCCCGAATGAGAGCAGAGTAGCGCCGAAACCGGTTTGGCTCAGTGGATAGAGCGTCGGTCTGCGGACTGAAAGGTCCCAGGTTCGATTCCGGTCAGGGGCATGTGCCTTGGTTGAGGGCACATCCCCAGTAGGGGGTGTGCAGGAGGCAGCTGATCAATGATTCTCTCTCATCGATGTTTCTAGCTCTCTATCCCTCTCTCTTCCTCTCGGTAAAAAATCAATAAAATATATTTAATAAAAAGAGAAAGAGAGTAGGGTAACTTCCCAAATGCTACCGGTAGTGAGACCAGGAGGTTGGAGAGCCCTGTCAGACCTAGAATGTGGGCCCTCTTCTCCCCACATTCAGATGAAGAAAATGCAGGCCTATGCACAGCTAGTGTCAATCTCTCATTCCCTGGCTCTGCAGAACCCTGTGACCCATGACCCAATCAGCAGAGGGGTCTGAAGGAAAGGAACGTGTGTCTGGGAGGGAAGGAGCTAGATAGAGTCAATGGGAGCAGCTTCCCCTGGCTCAACCAGCAACCAGACCATTGCTCAACCCACCTGCAGGCTACTTCCCGGATGCAGGGGCTGGCTTGGAGAAGAGACAGGGATTCTGAAATCCCGGAAATGACAATCCCTGAAAATTGGACACGGTTTTGCCGCACTCAGGATCACAATGGCTCTCCAGGCTAGGTAGCTTTTTATTTGTTTGTTTGCTAATCATCACCCGAGGATATTTTTCCATGGAATTTTAGAGAGAGTGAAAACAAGGGGGCGAGAGACACATCGATTGGTTGTCTCCCACACTCGCTCTGACCAGGGCTACCCAGCCACAGCCCAGTCACATGTCTTTGATCAGAATAGAAACTGGGACCCTTTAGTCCGAGGGCCAACGTTCTAACCACTGAGCAAAACCGGTTAGGGCCAGGCCAGGCCAGGCAGCCTTTCTCTGCCAGTGCCTGAGGTCTGAAGTCTCATGAGCAGCTTCAGTGAGTTTCTAAGGGAACTTCCCATTAGAAGTTCATCCAGGTTACAGCTTCCTCCTACTACCCTGATTTGTGAGGCATTGGGAATCCCCACCAAGAATTCACACAGTGAGGAAAAGGGTTATTTCATATTCTAGAGGCTTGGTGAATGGATTTGTGTACTAGTGGGGTCCCTCAGCCTGGCCTGTGCCCTCTCGCAATCTTGGACCCCTTGGGGGAGGTCAGACAGCCGGTTTCAGCCCAATCCCCATAGGCGGCCTGTGGGGATCCGGCCAAAACCAGCAGTCCGACCTCCACAGGGATTCAGTAGTGCTCGAAGCAACAGGTAGCTGGGGAGGAGCCCCAGCCTGGGCCTGCTGTCATGCCACCCCCACTCAGCCTGGCCCCACTTCGCCTGCTGTGGGCTCGTGCCCAGTACTGATAAGGAAAGGCTCGCACCCACTGCAGTGGCACTCACCAGCTGTGAGCCTGGTGTCTGGTGCCCGTCGCTTACCCGTATTTTCTGGCGTATAAGACGACTTTTGAAACGGAAAAAAGCCTGCTCGGATTGGCCAGAGTCAGAGAGGCGGGCTATTAAAAAAAGAACTGGTGTTGCCTCGGAAGTGGGGGGTAGTCTTATACAGCGAATATAGGCCTAAACCTGTTTTATTTTTATTTTTTATTTTTAAAAAAATATATTTTATTGATATTTTACAGAGAGGAAGGGAGAGAGATAGAGAGCTAGAAACGTCGATGAGAGAGAAACATCGACCAGCTGCCTCTTGCACATCTCCTACCGGGGATGTGCCCGCAACCAAGGTACATGCCCTTGACCGGAATCGAATCTGGGACCTTTCAGTCTGCAGACCGACGCTCTACCACTGAGCCAAACTGGTTTCGGCCTAAACCTGTTTTAACTGTAAAATTAGGGGGGTCGTCTCATACGCGGGAAAATACAGTACATGAGTGGCGTTCCCTCTGTTGGAGTGCTCTGACCACCAGAGGAAAGCTCCTGTATTGAACATCTGCCTCCTAATGGTCAGTGCATGTCACAGCAACTGGTTGACCAGTCACGTAGGCTTTTATACATATAGATGGTGAGACTAGGTATTGGGTGATGGACATTAGACCAGATCAATGGCCTCTTAATACTAGCTGGGCATGGATTTACTGAATCAGAATCTCTGGGAGTGGAGGCCAGTAACCTCTTCTCTCTCTTTTTCTTACTTTTAATTAATTTTATTTTTCAACTACAGTTGGCATTCAATATTATATTAATTTCAAAAGTATATCATAGTGATTAGACATTTTTATGAAGTAATCACCCCTAGAAGTCTAGTACTCCTCTGACATCATATTCAGTTATTACATTATTATTGACTATAGTCCCTATGATGCACGTTACATCCCATGACTATTTGCCTAACCGGCAATTTGCACTTCTTAATCTTTTTGTTCTTTAAGCTCTCCTGGGATACAGCACACAGCCACAGTGGGAACCATGTGGTCAGATACCCTCCCAACCTGCGTTCCCAGCCCACGGTTTAATCTGGAAAGGCACCGATCAAATCAGATTATTTAAGTATTAAAAGAAATTCAGATTGTTTAAGGAATTAAAAAGACAACCAAGCAGCAACAAAAGCCTTATAAAATACTAAAGTGGGGGAAAAATACTAAGTGAAAACACTTAGAATTTCACTCCACCGCAGAGGGGAGATGCATTTCCAACTACTGGGGGGGAAATCAGAGAAGAGAAATTTTTAAAACATTCTGCTTGACAAATATAATGAATTATAAAAAGGAAAGTGAAAATAGGAATATGATAAACATGAGGATAAAGCTTACCATCCAAAGAAATGAGATATTCATTTCATTAGAATGTATTTCCAAAGTAGGACCCAGAGGTCCAAGCGTGTGCACATTCTTAGGCTTTGGTCACTGCCTGCCAGACCGCTTTTCAAAGACCAAACCACTTCACAGAAACATCAACTGTGTACCTTCTCTCCACAGCATCACCAGGTTAGCTTTTATCACTGCTGAGTTTTCTGGCTTAACAGGCATGTAGTACCTTATAGCCAGTTATGTGTTCTCTCATGGATAGCAAGAGTTTGCATTTTTTCATGAGATGGCTTCTCCCTATATAAACAATTGATTTCTCTTCCAAAAGAATTTGGGTGGACTATACCTCAAAGAAAAAAAAATTCAAAAGACCAGTACTAAGATATTCCAAACAGCACTAGTTATGATAGTCTGGCAATAGTCAAAACCAGAACAGGTTTGTGAATCTGTGTCAATAAAGGAAAAGGGTGTCTGAAATAATACAGTGGTCAGAGCTATGCTACATAGTCTACCCTCCGTGGTCACAACTATAAAACTGTGCATGTGAGACAAGGACTGGGTAGCAATTTAGACTCCCATCAATCACTAGATTTTTTTTTTCCATCTTGAAAAAGTTTCCTATTCCTTTGTTTTTGTTTGATATATTTTTATTGATTTCAGAGGGAGAGAGAGAAACATCAATGATGAGAGAGCATCAATGATTGGCTGCCCCCTAACAGCCCACACTGGGTATATGCTCTGACTAGGAATTGAACTGTGACCTCCTGACTCTTAGGTTGATGCCCAAACACTGAGCCATGCCAGCCAGTACTTCTGTTTTAAGAGGAAATGCTTAATATCTAGCAAGGTCACACCAAGACCACAATCCATGTGGCAGCTTCTTAGGGAGCAGCATCAACATATCTGCCTTACCTGCTTGACAACGATTCAGATTCCTTTACCGAGAAAAATGTTGGGAAAGGCTTAAGTATGCCAACCTTTGGAAGAAGATGCACATTACCATAAACACTCAGCTAAGGGGTAAATAACTGGCTCAGGATCTATTTCTGAGAGCAGGTTTGGATAAGGAGCAGATGAAGACACCAGAAGAAATGAGGTATGGAAGGTCATTAAAAGGATAAAGAGGGAAGCCAGGGCACTGTGGATAAACCCGGGAAACCTCCCAAATTTCCTGAAAAGGGGCTCCAGCCCCACGAGAGAAAGGGATGGGAAGGGTGGCTGAGGCAACCAGGAATCTTGTCTTCCCTGCCTGCTCTCCAGGGCGCGGGTCCACGGGAACGCCCCGTCCTGGGCTGGACACGGAGCAGAGCATCTCCAGGAAGGGGGACATGGTCATGTCTCTGGTCATTTCTTTATTCAAAAGCAGGGGAGTCCCAAATGAATCTGCACTCTAACTTGCAGGGAGAACACAGGATGCGAGGTCTAGCAGTTTCCTTGCTGAGGAGTTGCTGTTCCCGAAGCCTGTGTGTTCTCATGTGCTGTCTTCTTGGCTCCCCGCTCTTAGCCTCCACCCACCGCCCAGATCTCCAATCCGGGGAAGGGAAGATACACAGAGGACAAGGGGAGATTATGAGTCCTGATGTTCTGGGAAGACTGGCAAAGGAGGCCTCAGGCTTCCTGCAACAGGAGATGTCTGTTCTGTGAGGTGTCAATGAGGAAAGCACTGAAATGGTGCCTGTGGTCAGAGAGCAGTGCCTGGTACCAGCCCCAGCCTCTGGAACAGCTCTCCTGCAGTAATTAGGGGAGATGGAGTGGGTAGACCAGCCATGTCCATTTCCATGGGGAAGAATCAAGCTCATGCCCTCCAGTCATCTTTGGAGGAAGGCAGAAATAAGCCCACCAGGCTTGACTCCCACCAGCCCAGCTGGCAGTAAAGAGCTGTCATTCTTCAAGGTCCTACCTAACCTACATCCTTCATCCAAGGTAGGTAAGATGCCCTCCCACCCCCAGCTTCTGGGACCTCCCAGCTTTCCCATGGCAGGTACTGAGCTGGAAGGGCTGGCAAGATCCTAAAGGCCTAGTTCTCTCTGCACTGGGGCTGGGGCTGGTTTAGAACGAGGAGTCCTCTCTGAGGTTTACACACTCCCTTCAGCCGAGCCCTCACTCTCTACCCACCCACCCTCCTCACCCTGATCCCTCCCAGTTTAGGTCTGGAAATGACTGAAACCAGAACTAAAGCTCCAGGGACAAGGAGTGCAGCCCTGGAAGCTGGCCGGAAGTACAGGCCGTGGCCGAAGACTGTCCAGGGCACAGAGACGACAAGACCCTAAAGCCACGAGGCCCCGAGGCCCTGAGTGGGGTCCCCCGGGAACCACAGAGAGGGACCAGGCGGAGCAATGCCGGAGGGGAGCGATGGCCTCGTACCAGTTGCCTCGGCAGAAGAGCCTGGGTTGTCTGGCCCAGCGGCACCAGCAGGTTCACTGGCTACAGCAGGACCTCCACTCTGGCAGCCCTCGGCGGCCACACCCTCCAGGCCTTTGCCCTCCTCCTCCGCAGGGACCTGGGCGTCCACTCCAACTTCCAGAACGCGGATGGTCTCATGACCTGACATCACGATGACCTGCAAACAGAGGACAGGGAACGCCGTGGGGCAGGGGCCTCTTGCCGGGTGGCCAGAGCTCTGGGCATGATTTCGGGAGAGAGGAAAGGGTAGACCTCCTGACCTGAGCACTGTGTGCTCTGTGAGAACGCCGGAGCCTGGGGCAGGCTGCAGCTCCATGGCTCCAGAGAGGGATCGAGCGAGGAGAAAGGCCCTGGGGAGAGGACCGGGGGCAGGGCCTGACACAGCCGGAAAGAGCCCCACGGAGCCAAACCACGGGAGGATATTGCTATTTGGTCCCTTTCTTGGGCTCAGTTCAGGGAGTGGTGAAAGTCTATTCCACAGCCCAAACCGGTTTGGCTCAGTGGATAGAGCGTCAGCCTGCGGACTGAAGGGTCCCAGGTTCGATTCTGGTCAAGGGCATGTACCTTGGTTGCAGGCACATCCCCTGTTGGGGTGTGCAGGAGGCCGCTGATCAATGATTCTCTCTCATCAGTGTTTTTAACTCTCTATCCCTCTCCCTTCCTCTCTGTAAAAAAAAAAAAAAATCAATAAAATATATTTAAATAAAAAAGTCTATTCCACAGTCTTGTAAAGATGTTCTCTTGGCTGCCGGGATATTGGTGCGTGGCCATGAGGGTCCCTAACACAGCACCCACAGCGTTAAGCTGGGCCAAGAGGCAAATCCCACTTCCCGTCCCCTTGAAACCTTCAGAGATAAAACAGTGGAACAAATGCTCCACAATGTTGAGTAACTTTTTCAGTTCGTGATTCCTTTATTTCCCAAACTCTGGGGTAAAGGCCAAGATTTTCCTACAAGCTAACTTCCTGCATCCTGAGGACCGAGCCTCTCCCCACCCCCTGCCTGGAGCTGTGCCCTGTGGCTACATGGTGCCATCCGCTGTGAGCCTGCTCTGACCTTGAAGGGAGCCTCCGTGTCCCAGCAACGTGGAGGCCCCGGGCCTCCTCAGAACACGACCTTCCTCCCCTGCTCAACCAACCAGCACTCAGCTCTCTAACTCAGCACAGAAATGCTTCCAACTGGGCCACTCAAAAGCCAGGGGCACGCTCCAGTGAAAAGCTCTGCGCCCAGCCTCCCCTGTGCTGGGCCTGTGCCTGCGCTACTCTCACCGCACACTCCTCAAGCCTGCACGCTGGACCCAGCCGGAGACTCTGCTGGAAAGAGTGACAGCGTGACCCATCACGGGAGCTGGAGGGAAATCACCCCCAAAGCAGCTGCCTTTCTGACTCAAACTTGACCTGTGAGGGACTTTAGTTACATTTTAAGAGTTGTTCATCTTTTTCCTCCTTTTAAGTGCCCTGGCCCGTGTGGCTCAGTTGGTGAGCATTTTCCCATGCACTGAAAGGTCACCACCGGTTTGGTTCCTGGTCAGGGCACGTACCCGGGTTGTGAGTTTGATCTCGGGTCGGGGTGCATGCGAGAGGCAACTGATCCATGTTTCTCTCTCACATTGATGGTTTTTTTTTTCCTCTCTCCTTCTCCCTTCCTTTCTCTCTCTAAAAAAAGATAAAAAATCACCAAAAAATTTTTAGGATTACATAAGTAATAAATGATCATTGTAGAAAAATTAGGGAAAAAATGTAAGAAAAAATACTAAAAACAAAAGCAAACAAAAGAAGAAGGGAAAAAAACCCACAGGAAAAGAAATCAGAGCAAATTATCCAATGTCCAAATATTCCCCATGTAAGATACTATATAATAAAAGAATAATACGCAAATTGACTGCCACTCCAACACACAAGATGGCCAGCAGTGGAGGGCAGTTGTGGGCGATCAGGCCAACAGAGGAGGGTAGTTGGAGGGGGAAAAACACCTGCAGGGGAGGACAGTTGGGGGTGACTGGGCCAGCAGAGAAGGGTGTAGAGGGGGACCAGGTCTGCAGGGAGGCCAATTGAGGGAGAGGGCAGACCTGCAGGGGAGGGCAGTTGGGAGGGGACCAGGCCTGCAGAGGAGGATAATTGAGAGGGACCAGGCCTGTAGGGGAAGGCTGTTGGGGGGTGGGGGGAACCAGGCCTGCAGAGAAGGGCTGTTGTGGGGGGGACTAGGCATGCAGGGGAAGACAGTTGGGGGGACCAGGCCTGTAGGGGAGGACAGTTAAGGGTAACTGGGCCAGCAGGGGAGAGCATTAGAGGGGGAATAGGCCTGCAGGGGAGGCCAGTTGGGGGGGCTAGGCCTGCAGGGGAGAGCAGTTGAGGGAGGGGGGGAACCAGGCTTGCAGGGGAGGCCAGTTGGGGGGGCTAGGCCTGCAGGGGAGAGCAGTTGAGGGAGGGGGGGAACCAGGCCTGCAGGGGAGGCCAGTTGAGGGGGCTAGGCCTGCAGGGGAGAGCAGTTGAGGGACGGGGGGAACCAGGCCTGCAGGGGAGGGAAGTTGGGAGGGACCAGGCCTGCAGGGGAGGGTAGTTGGGAGTAACCAGGCTGGCAGGCAGAGCAGTTAGGGGCAATCAGGCAGGCGAGCGGTTGGGAGTCAGCAGTCCTGGATTGTGAATGGGATGTCTGACTGCCTGTTTAGGCCCGATCCCACCAGGATTGTTTAGGCCCGATCCCACCAGGATCGGATCTAAACGGGCAATCAAATATCATTTGAGGGATCCCAGATTGGAGAGGGTGCAGCTGGGCTGGGGGATACCTCCGTTCCCCGCCCCCCATGCACGAATTCCGTGCACCAGGCCTCTAGTTATACATATTTGTACATTTTAATTTCACTTTTTAAGATCACACCTTAGCCTGGCTGGTGTGGCTCAGTGATTGAGCATCAACTCAAGAACCAGGAGGCCGGGGTTCCATTCCTGATCCAAGCACATGCCTGGATTGTGGGCTTGATCCCCAATAGAGGGCGTGCAAGGGGCAGCCGATCAATGATTCACTCTCATCATTGATGTTTCGCTCTCTCCCTCCCCCTTCCTCTCTCTGAAATCAATAAAAAATAACTATTAAAAAAAACAGACCTGTAGCCAGTTTGGCTCATTGGATAGAACACTGGCCTGTGGACTGAAGGTCCCAGGTTCAATTCTGGTCAAGGGCACATGCCCAGGTTTTGGGCTCAATCCCCAGTGGGGGCGATGCAAGAGGCAGCTGATCAGTGACTCTCTCTCATCATTAATGTTTCTCTCTCTCTCTCTCTCCCTCTCCCTTCCTCTCTGAAATCAATACAAATATATTTTAAAATAATAGTCAAGTCACAGCTTACAGTCCCAAATTAAGCCCCTGAGAAATCCTAGCTGGTAACTAAGCCTGATCAGGTGAACTGACCGTGAACTTTGGTAAGAAACAGATAATGAAGAGCTCTATGAGGTCTTCCTGCTCCCCCCCCCCCCCCCCGACCCATCACCCTCACTCCGCCACCTCTTTCTGCCCCAGAAGATACCTGCTCATTGACGGTGAGAGACGACTCTGGGCCAGCTTCTGGGTCCATGGTCAGGGTGGGGCAGGGACCAGCCAACACCTAGCACATCCTGTGGGGTGAAATGGTAGGTGAACTGATATGACGCAGTGGTACGATTTCCATAGCACTCCAAAAAGCCACAGGTAGAATGGTGGGAGAAGAGAGAAGCTAAGTTTCTCTCAAGTATTTGTAGACAGGAAGTATTCTAAGGACTTTAAAGTGTCTTCTTCCTACAGCTTCCCCGGAGAACTTCACTCAGGGGAGGTGGGAAAGAAGAACCAGGGTGACAAGAGAAGGGCCAGATACTGTCCCTGGGTTTCCCCCGTCCGTTGGGAGAGAGAAGACTCAGCGGAACCCTGACCGACACTAAGAACCTCAGACCCGGATAAGGAGCACTTTGGGTGTCAGAGTGCCTCTCGGGGAGGAGTCTGAGCAGACCTCCTGGAAGAGATGGTAAAGACGGGAATACATGTAAGCATTAGCCTCGCCCGCCAGTGTGGCTCAGTGGGCTGAGCATTGCCCCATGCATCAAGAGGTCACTGGTTTGAATCCCGCTCAGGGCACATTCTAGGGTGGCAGGCTCAATCCCAGTAGGGGGCATGCAGGAGGCAGCCAAATGTTTCTCTCTCCCTTTCCCTTCCTCTCTAAAAAATCAATAAATACATGTTTAAAATAAAACAAATAAAAATATTAATCTCAAACTTTAATGTATATGATCAGCACCGGAGCACTTCTTTAAAAGCACAGGCCTGGATTCACCCAGAATAAACATCCCCGGAGAGCCTGAACCAGCAGGGGGCCCCCCACACTGAGCTCCCCGGTGACCTTGTGGCCGGGGCCCAAGGACTGGCCTTCCCCACTGGAGGAAGGACAGCATCCCAGACGCAGAGCAGCCTGCCAAAGGCAGGAAGGAGCGGGAGAAGCCCTGGTAAGCACAGGCTGTCTGGCTGGAGCCACAAACCACAGTCATAAGAAATAAAGGTAATAAAGGGGACAAATAGGTTTGGACACTTATTTAGAAAAGGAGGCAATTAACTGTGGTTGCCTCCTGTGCTAATAAGCATTCTATGTAACTCATTCATGTGTTACTCATGCCAGTTGGGGGCTGGAACATTATTATCACCATACAGATGAGGAAACTAGGCTCACAGAAGTGTTCTGGATTCCTCACCTTTCCCTTCATCCTCCTCTTTCATCTCTGCATCGTTTGTTTCACTTTTCTGTGTTTTTATTGAATTAGATAAAATCCATTTATAATGATAAAGCATAATATGCCAATTAAACCGGACAACCGAATGACCTTCCGGACAAAGCTGGGGCTACGAGGGCCGAGCCCCTAGCACGAATTTTGTGCATCAGGCCTCTAGTATAACCTAAAATTCACCATTTTAAAATGGTGAGAAGTCATCAATTTAGGCACTCTGTTAGATAAACCAAATTTTAAAGTGAAACTTTGGTATTTTGCATAAATTTGCCAAGAAAACAACATTTAAAGAGATATTTACAATTTTAAATAATGATAAAAAAAATAATTTGGGCAATTCTGGTTAAAGCTGGAGGGAGCCAGGGCCCACGGAGCCTGCTCCTTGCTTTCTTCCTCCAGGGGGCTGCTTGTGGAAACACCTGAAGCAAACCTGGCACGCACCGCGCTTGGCTCACGGATGGCTCGGCTCGCTGTTCCTGGCTTCCCTGTGCCGACACCTAGAAACGCCGGGAACCTCGGGGAAGGAGCTGCAGGTGCGAGGCATTTGCCTGCGAAGGGAAACCCAGGGCCATCGGGACCTCCAGCGGAGGGGCTGAGAGAGTTTTCTTTTAGGAACTGCTTTAGGCTTCGGACACCATCCCAAAACCCCAGAGGAGCATTGGGAAATCTCAAACAAATCAGAGCCCCCTAAAACAGCCCAAGTTCATGTTAGAAAAAATCCTGAAATGCTTTGTCCTTCATTTATTTAACGGATATTTCAGTGGCTGCTGTGTGCTGGGTGTTGGTGATGCAATGGGGGAGGGGGGCGGGGGGGGAGAGAAATCCCCTAGCTCTGTCAGGAAGCCTACAGTCTAGAGGCTCTCCCTCCCCAGTCAGCAGAGCCTTTTCCCTTCCCCTCTCCTTCCCCGACCACTGAGGTCCTGGCCTTGCTCTCTCCTAAGCTCCAAGGGCTTTTCTTTGGCCTCTGTAACTTGTTTCCTCAGCCCATTCCTTCTACAGCTCACTTCTACTTCAGTTACTTTCAAAATAGACTTTCTCTTATTACGAAAAGAAGAAAAAGGATGAGGATGAGGATGAGAGGAGGAGAAGGAGGAGGAAGAGCAGAAGGAGGAGGAAGAAGAGAGGTTGCCACTGCCTGCAGTCTATATGGTAGTCAAGAATATAAAAAGTATGTTTTCAGCCGAAACCGGTTTGGCTTAGCGGTAGAGCGTCGGTCTGCGAACTGAAAGCTCCCAGGTTCGATTCCAGTCACGGGCATGTACATTGGTTGCGGGCACATCACCGGTAGGGGGTGTGCAAGAGGCAGCTGGTCGATGTTTCTCTCTCATCGACGTTTCTAGCTCTCTAGCTCTCTCCCTTCCTCTCTGTAAAAAATCAATAAAATACATTTAAAAAAAATAAAATAAATAGTATGTTTTCAGTTTATTTTAAATACAGAGCGGTAGAGGATGCACAGAAGGGATACCCAATAAAGTTTGTGTGGTCCTTTGTTCTAGAGTGGCATGTGTTTCAGGTATGAAATCTTATGTATGAAGAATCTTGTGCCACGTAGAGGAAAATGGAACTTAATTCAGACTCATTTCTGTGGTTTTACTCACTCCTTTAGCACTTAATGTGGCTGAGGTCCTCCAGGTGTAAAACACCTCGTTATCCAGTCTTTTTGGGGATGGAGGAACTCTGCATGAAATTAGTTGAGTCCAAAGAACGGCTGCTTGAGCTGAAATTCGTTTTAGCAGTATTGCACTGGTAGAAAGTCACATTTTTTTTTTTTTATGGGAAACTACCTTTCACATTTTATATGTAATTCTCACAGACTAGGCTGTTTGTAGACATCACTATCCTCAGCTCCACGCCACTTTTACATTTAAATTGTGCACTCACTTACCTTTTGCAGCGCTGCCATTCAAATAGACCATGAGGACAGGAAGCAAGAGTATAGGCTGGTAGCTGGGGCTGAGCCGAATGGGGCAGGTAACCCACTCTTCCCCAGTCCCCCAGTCTGACAACCAACAAAGTCTAACTCTTGTCTGGACTTCACCTGGGAACTTTAGACGCATATGTCCAATGGCCTACTGTTTGCTCATATCATCTCATACTCAACAAGTTCAAAACCAAACTTCTAATTTTCACCCAAATCTGCTCCAGCTGCGTTTCCCATCCCAGCAAATGGCAGCTTTATCCTTCCAGATGCTCAGGCCAGAAACCTGCCGTCATCCTTGCCTTCTCTCTTATCACAAACTTATTCCTTCAGCAAATCCTGCTAGCTCTCCCTTCCAATATGCCCAGCATCCCCCCATTTCTTATCACTGCTGCCCTGGTCTGCACAGCTTTGGTGCTGAGTGTGAAGAAACACCACACGCCCTTCTGCACACAAGTGTCCTGTTCTTAAGTCGCCAGACTCCAGGCAGGCGCCACCTCTTTTAAGTTGTCATTTCCTGATGGATTTCTGTATGTCCTCCTACCCTTCTCCATTTCTGCCCCAGGACTCAGACTTCCCTTCCCGCCTGTTGAAGAATAATAATCACTGACAGTTTAAACAAATCTATATATATATGAAAGACTAAGCCACCATCCGGCCGTCTGACAGGCCAGTAGGTACGACATGCACTGACCACCAGGGGGCAGATGCCCAATGCAGGAGCTGCCTAGCTGCGGTGACTTGGCAGCAGTGTTTCTCGGGTGACCCACCTGGACCCCACCTCCGGAGGGACCGCTCACTCCACAGATACCCTTCAAGCCTCAGTGCCGTCCCAGGTGCGGCCGGCCGTTGGCTGCAGGGCATGTTCTGCCATCTTGCCCAGTCCTGCCCTGCTGGCCACCTTCAATTAACTTCCTTTCAATGTGCTTGAATCGGTGTATTTATTATATATTTGATAATAAATCACTGATAGTTTATTGGGACCCAGAAAGCTCTCAGTTCTGCTCCAGGCCCTCCCCTCAGGCCCTGGATCCAGGGCAGAGATAATGGCTTGCCAAGCTGTTGACAGACTGGGTAGGCCCACACATGAGTCAGAAAGAAGAGAAAGGGGGAAAATAGGGGAATAGTGAACAAATTTATTTCCCCTCATTGAGCATTCCACTTATAATCTTAGACCTACACAGTCAAACAGTAAAGACTAATTTTATAAGGACAGATTTAGGTTTAGTTTATCCTTCTGCCCCCTTTCCTATGGGCCCAAACTTGATTTACCCAGGCAAAGTGAAGGGAGGGGGCACGTAAAATGTGAAAAATAAAACCTAGATCTATTGCCCCACAAGATTGTAAACTTCAAGAAGGCATGTCCACTTATCACCATATCCCAGTGCCTCGTATAATACCTGGTACACATGAGAGCTAATGAATATAAAACAATTAAGACATCATAACATTAGGAAATACATTAAAATATAAATTAAGAAATAAAATCAGCCCAGCTGGCATGGCTCAGTGGTTGAGTGTTGACCTAGGACCCAGGAGGTCATGGTTTGACTCACAGTCAGGGCAAGTGCCTGGGTTGTGGGCTTGACTCCGTGGGAGGTGTGCAGGAGGCAGCTGATCAATGGTTCTCTCTCATCATTTATGTTTCTCTTTCTCTCTCTCCCTTCCTCTCTAAAATCAATAAAAATATATTTTTAAAAAATCAAATCACATCACTTAGCCTCCTCCTATTTCCTCCTTCCCTCCTCAAAACACACGTCCTATTTCATATTGTGCCCCCATTCCTAGTACTAGGGCTATCTAAAGTGATTTCAAAGTAGGATTTCTGAAGAATCTTGATAACACTTAAACCTAAGGTACTGGTCCTATTCCTCACTCCCAGCCTCCTCTCCGGCTATCACGCCCTTT